CCTACCCTTGCGAAATAATATATTACCATAACATAATAATGAAAGAACATGGCTGATACTCCGCTTACAGCTTCCTGAGGAGTATTCTCGGCGGATTCACTGTCTAACGTCTAACATCTATTTCTTCTTCATCTACACACAAAATGGATAAATCACTATCTCGGATGATGGCTGCGGTATTCGAAGTTATACAGGTGCCGTCGCTCACGGATCGCCGGTGATTCCTTTTTTCCAACTTCTCCACTTGCTACCATCACTTTTCTCCAAGTTTGTCTTTGTTTCCTTGACTGTATAAGATTAGCTGATTCGATAACATTTTAAATGTTAAGACGTTTTAATTTTCATTTTACCCTTACTTATGTTAGTATGAGGACACAAATATCTGCACTTTAAATGAAAATAATATAATTATAATGTCATATAATATTGTAAACTTACAATATGACATGTCATTATATAATTAATTTTTTTCATTCGAGAGTTTATCTTTGATATTATATATATCTACTTATTTAATAATATGTTATACTTATTTAACAACATGTTATCATTGTAAGTTTATATATTACATGAGATTATAATAATAGCATTGCCCTACTTTAAAAGTCAAGGGTAAAAACCTCACACTTGACTAGTTGGAGGGCAGTCCGTGGGTTTTTACCATGCCTTAATTCGATTTTTTTTTTTTTTTTATACATAAAAAGTTTACTACTTGATGTTGCAGAGATTTAAACCCTAATCTTAATTTCAAATCAAGATTTATAATTTGGTAGGTACTAACTTGGCCAAGCTCTTGTTGGCACCTTAATTTAATTGGATAAAATGATTTCGTCCTCTCTCAAATCAAACATGTCCTGAGATAAGATGAGATGAGAGGAAGATCTTCTGTGTTCTTTTGGATTTTGGCAAAGAAGAAGCGTCTAGGGCCCTTGGGTAGTAAGCTGCAGGTTTCAGCGAGGTAGCTGTTAAGCCTTTGTTCGTCCTCTTCTGCCCTTAGTAGCAGGAGAGTCCGGATTTGTCATCTTGTAATCAGTAGCTCATAGTAGAATAAATTTCTTGTCTGGTCTGTTTTGTTCATGGATCTGACTTGATTCATGTGGAACCTGAGGCCTTGTGTTAAATATATGATGACTTTCGCCACATCTGGTTTCCAGTTTAGTAAAAAAATGGGAATAAGAGGAAGGGAAGAAAAAATAACCTACTTTACTCGTAAACAAAATTTGAGGATACATTACACAACATGCTCAGATCTCCCACCCGTATGCTGCTGGGCCACCCCTCTAACACTAAAACAAAGGATAAAAAAACAAAAAAATTAACTGGAACACCGTCCAAATAATGTGGAGAAATTTGCACCCATTTGGATATTCCCTCCTCGTAAACTCTGTCAATACAATGTCTCTTTCTATGCAAAGCTATGACCCAAATATATGTCTGTGAAGAGGTTGTGCCTCCAAAGTTTTAACCACTTCCATCCATGGTTTGTCTACAATCAAGATGGAGTGTTTTGAGAGGTGTCCGATAAATAACACAGGATCTCTGAAAGCAAAAAATTCAAAATTCTTTCTGCCCATGTGTTTGGCCTCTGTTTGACAATCTATCGACGAATGTTTTCTTTTACCATTAGCAGAACACTGTGACTTCTGCAACATGGAAACCTGACCATTCACCAAGTTGCTGTCATCATCTTGGTCCACTGGCTTGCCAAAGTCAATTGAACACATTGCTCTGCAGCAAGTATAAAAGTGTGATGAGATGATATATATCAAAATAGTACATAATGAAGTATCAAACACTACAGATATGGAGGAAGAGGTTTAGCCCTCATGGCAGTATCATTCATGAAAGGATTTTGCTTTGACAAAGAATCAGGCATACTATCCAAAATATAACTGAGCCAAAAAACTAAAAAATAAAATCTGGATAGGACATACACCAAATGAAGGTTGAAATGTTGCCTAATGGAGTAATTAAACAGTCAAAACTAGAACAGTACCTGGCACTGTAAATAAGGACGGAGGATGATTTTGATGGAGAGGAAAGCGGGGGAAAAGAAAGCCCAATGACCTCGCCTGGAAATTCTTGGTATCTCTTGGGAAGAGTAAAAGTATTCTGCATTGACCATTCTCCTAACTGTTTGGCCTCTACATCAAACGCATATACCTGGTTTGACGATGTTGTGATTATAAGCACATTGTTATTGAAAGGAGGAAAGCCACCAGCTGTAACAGAGGCACCATCCAACCTTGATATAAACCAGTGTTGCCTGCTCCATGGAAACAAACAAAAAATTTTAAACATGTCATGAAAATAAAATTTGCATATCACAGAGAAATGTAAAGTTAGTGGATTTGCATTGGAAGCTTTGGATCTTCCATATCCTCACATTTTCCTTAATGTGTTACCAACAAATTTTAGTCTAGCCAGCCATCTTGAACTTGAATATAAAATGGGCTCAAATAAATTGACCTTGCAATAGCAATATATACAAAGGTTGTTCAAGCCAGACAAGACTTAAAAATATAGAAGTGATCATTTTTAGAACCACCTCATACAGATAATGCTATATAAGAACAATTTCAACTTCCTCACCTTTGTATCTCAAGATTGAATACATATACATCTCCAAAGCAGTTGATAGCAGCTAGCCACTGCCCATCAGAACTAGTAAACATTTTTGTTATAGGTGGCTCATCTGGTGATTCATCTTCATCATGCTCTTCACGACAAGGTGTGAAGGTATGCAGCAGTTTGGAGCTACACACATCCACAAACTGCAACAAAGAAGTTTCATGAAATATGCACCACTAAAGCAAGAAGTTTAAATATACATAACTGATATAAGCTGATAAAATGACAAAGCAAGCAAAAAGTGAGACCTACATATATCCTTCTATCATCCCCTGCTATCATCAACCGTGTGCTATCAGAACTAAATACCATGCAATGAGCAGAAGGAAGATTCTGAGGAAGTTGCTTTTTCTTCACATTCCACATACTTTTCCCACCTTGCCTATTTAGTTCAAACAGGCTGAGTCTTACATTATCTGAATAAGCAAAAAGCTGCCCTGAATTAGACATTGCACTGCAAATGATCTTCCGAAATGCTTTACTCTTAACTCGAGCCACCAAGTCAGTGGCAACATGGCCAGCAAAGGTGGTTGCGCCTGCATCAGGAATGCGAGCACAAAGAATATCTAACCAATAAGAAGCCTGGACCAGAAGCAAAGAAGTTTGCTTGACTTGGGCACTCCTCACTAGTTGGATGGGGATTCTCTGAGGTGCAGGGCAAATATCATGCGGAGAGAATTTAGTAAACTCCTTAACAGAGTATGCGAACAGCTTGGTATCATCACCAGCTGAGATAAGCATAGGAACACCTAAATGAGCCCATTTATGGTAACTAAAATCAATTGGCTTAGCTTTGCGACGAATTCGTTTATTCCCCTTTCCATCTTGAACCTTTCTTACCTTCCCATCCAGCAAAGGTGCTACAAATTAATAATAACAAGGACCAATTAGAACTGAGAAAGCTAAGACACCAGAAAGGGAGACCCATAAACAAATGTACCACATATAACATTATGTATTGATTTCAACAAAATGTAAGAAGTTAAATTTTAATAAGAGAAATAAATACCCAGTAGAATGTAGGAAATGGACAAACCTTCCTGGCTGATTGGCACTGCCACAGTCAAGGCCTTGACATCATGCGTATGTGCTCTTACATAACCAACATATACCCATTTCTTAATCATTTCAGAAGATTTCTCATCACTGGACTCAATTGCCTCACTAGAAAGTTTATAAAGAACAACCTGCAAATACAAGCAACTTAACACTCATCAACAACAAAGGATTAGATCAACAGTATAGGTCAAGAAACATTTTCAGAACTTCAATGGGAGAAAAAAGATGGTGTCAGGACAAAATTGGATCTTTGAATGTTAATATAAATATATATATATAAGACAAATCTTATGAGAAAGACTTTGATGGGCTATGGGCCTAACAGCAAGTTATTCCTTTTAACTCAATTTCTTTCCAATTCTCAGATTGATGAGTCTCTCTCAAACACAAAGGCATAAGGACCCACGATCCCAATCATTCTCCACGACTCCTTGTCTAGCATGTTCACATTGTCCAGATAGGTTCTCAAAAGCTATCCAACATTATGATTTTTTCATACTAGCAAAGTAAAATCCAATTTAAATAATATGTTATAATCACCACAATATTGCAGTAAAAGCAGTTATTTCCCAGTGGGAAGTACAAAACTGATAATTCTTGTTAGAAATCTTGCAATGACACCAAAATAAGAATAAAATACTTCAAGAGACCACAAGATCAACAACCACACCTGACCGTCAGCCCCAGCAGAGAACACTCTGTTATGACTAGGAGCTGCTGCTAGAGCATTCACATCACCCTTATGATTAGAATGTGCCTGCAGAAGAGTTCCACTATTTCCATCCCAAAACTGAACACTACCATTGCTGTCTGCACTGACAAGAGTTCCACACCTGAACAAAACAATCCCACCATCAACACTATTAAGTACATTAACCAATAATGGTACACCTAAAATGCATCTGTGCAGTGGTATATCTGCACAAAAATCCTTCCACAAATACCTTAAGGAAAGTAATGACCATACACAAAGTTCCGGGCCGCTACCCAAACCTCCAAGGCCAACTGTACTTCTGTAAAGCTCATGAAACAGATTAGCATCCCAACATCTTATCAACCTGCAAAAGAACATCGATATTATATGTACAACACGCATAAAACAATTAGTAGAGAAGAAATTACAGGAGTATTATAAGGAAAAGGCTTAATAACAAACTCACCCATTGCTACTCCCTGAATATATCCTCCTAGCATCATGGCTCCAAGTCACACTTAAAATACGCCCTGGAAATAATAACATCACCAGGAAGCTCTAAGTAAAGCTAAATGCAATAAATTGCAAGAATAGTCACTGAGGAGTAGGCATCTCACCACTGACCCTAGGCAATGATTTATAGTATATCAACTCAAATAAGTCAGAGATACTATATATCCGAACTGCTCCATCATCACAAGCTAAAGCTACAGGCCTATCCTCAGTAACTAAATTCTCATGAATAACTTCTGAGTCTGAATCTTCACTATCACTGCTTTCTTGATCATGACTATCATTAAATTTATCATTTAGGCATCCATTTCCAAGGTGTTGAGATCCAGGCTCTGCAACAGTTAGTTGATGCTTAATGGGTGCCACAGCTATCTGCCAAATTGAGACACCAATGGACTCCAGTACAATCTGCAAATTAGATTTATCAAAACAAATCAACAACAAAAGAACAAAAGTACTTCTTTCCTTCAAGAATTTAAAGGTAAAAACCAAAGATGGAAACATGGCATCCATTCTGCAGGATTAGTTCTACCAAATGAGAAAACAATTTTACTCTCATTATCCATCTGCTAGTTTTTTTTTTATCACCCCGTTGTCCATCTGCTGTGACAATGTGACATCATGAAATATGTACCCAACTTAAATATCATCACTAGACAACATCTTGCATTAAGAACCTCTTTCTGATTAAATTCAATTCTATTCACTCGACAATAAAATAAAACCATAAAACATTAACCTTAATTAGTAGATGGTTGATTCCTTATCCAGCACCAGTAAGCCATTTACTATTATTCATATTAAAGATCTAATATTATTAATATGCAACACCATGGTTTGTTTGAAATGAACTAAGAACTGAACATCTTCTAGTAAAAATAACAGAAATGCAACTAATCTCAACTATACAAAAATGTCAAAGCAAGAATCGCTGTACAGCTTTTACCTTCTGCTTTAAGTCAAAAAGATCCCACTCCGACACAGACCCATCAATACTAGAGGAGAACAACCTGCCACAAGGCAAACCTCTTGAACCAGTGCAACACCACACAAGCGAGGAAACTCTCGAATTAGGGTTTCCATGAATAGTCTATTCAATCATTAAAAAAAAAAGAAGAAAAAAACAAAAGAAAAGAAACTTATCAATTTAATCAAACAATAAAAACTCATTGAAACTTAGAGAGCGAAGAGTAAGAAATGATTATACTAGTTGGTGGTGCCAGCCGACGGAGCCGGGAGAGACAAGCCAAATCTCGAGTGAACCGTCCTCACGAGCGGCAGCAACCTGAGAGTCGTCGGCGCTGGTAGCTAGAGCTACTACTGGAGACGGCTTCCAGTCGATTGAACTGGTCCGGTAAGCTTTAAACATTTCGGCGGCGGGATGGAAAGTCCCGAAAAAGCTATGATTCTTCAGGTAGGGTTTTGGAGATGGTGCGGGGAGAAGAAGAGGGCAGCGCAGATGAAAAAGTGGAGGGACAGGAAAGGGCTTTGAGAATTAGGTTTTGTTTGCGTTTCTATTACTATTCTTTTATAATTGGGCTTTAGAGTTTAGACCCATATTTATTTGCTTTCTAGCCTTTCTAAGCCCACGCTTCCATCAGCCTTAGCCCATAATTTTTTTTCTTTTTATTTTGGATTATGAGAGATAATTATATCCCTCCCTTAATCTAATCTACCTATATATAATATGATTTGATTTTAAGATTTTTTATTTTTATTAAAAAAATTATTACAGAATTACTTATATAGGTATTTTTCTTATACTTATATTGTGGTCTATTTTAGTTTTCTTTTTATTAGAATTTTGTATAAATAAAAATGAAACTTTTTAAAACTTTTCCAATTTATAATATGATATTTTTTTTCTTTATTAATTAAGGCTCCCACCTTTTCAAAATTTTTAATAAAAAAATATAGCTATCAACATCCACTTAATACTTTAAAATTGCAATTTGATTAAAAATTTTTCAAAGGTGGTTGTTCGCATTTAATTATGCAACAAATAAGATGATACATGTCCAATTAATTTTCATGAGTGGTTATTATTTTGCCACATTACGTGGTGTTAGCAATGCTTAATGTGTATGCAGCCCTTGAAAATGTTGAGCAATAGATGGCCAACACATGATATATGTTGGCAAATATCTTTGTTAAATGATTAAATCATTTTAATTAATGATTTAATTACAAGATTTTTATGACAATTATGAAGCAAATCTGAGGGCTACAACAATTAAACTTTGAAAATGTAAAATATACACACACATGGTGTTACCAGCCACTATGATATGGTGATTTTATCAATTTCACTTAGCAACTTATTTTTCTCAAGATATAATATAAGTGGTTGTTGTCACATCAAAAAAGTGGTTCATTTGTTACAAACTCTAAGGATTTCTAACATGTTGCCAAGAGATGCTTTGCACTATAACTACATGAAGTTGAAGTCAAACAAGACAAGCTTACCTCTTCTCAAACCAGCCAAGCACTATTTGCTTGTCAATGTTTATGCACATTTCAAACTTCAAGCTTTAATAGTCAAGTCTTTATTATGCTTCCACTAGCACTAGCATTTAACATTAACATAATGTCATTCCCTCTAGACATATAAGAATTCCAAAAATTGATTATAGTTCACTAAGGAATCAATTTAACTCTTCTTTTGTTAGTTTGTAATAGTAAGGATTTTTGTCACATGTGATAGTTTCTTAGAGTTGAAGTGTTTTTTTTTTTTTTTTGTTAATTTTCAAGTGCTTTCATTGATTTATTTTGCTTAGTTTAGTAATGTTAATATTCAAAATCATAATTTGTTTCATTTTTGTTGGATTTTATTTCATGCTACTAGCACATTATTCATGTTTCCATTTTTCCAATCTAGTTTAATTCACTTTATTTTATTTAGAATTATATTTATTTGTTTTATTGTAATTTTATTTGCATCCTTATAAGTTCATTTAAATTTTCAATAATGTGGCATTCATTTGATTTTCTTATAAGTTTCATTTTTCCAACGTACATTTATGTGGTGAGTTCATTAGAGGTATATTTAAGGTAGCTTTCCATTGGGATGAATATTGGTACAATAATGTACCGTACTGTACCAATTTTATATTGTGCCAATTATATTCGGTTTTTTAGTCTTGTACTGAGTACCGACCCAAATATGTTTAACCAATACATTATTTAGTAATTAGTACTCGATAATTTTAAAACAAAAACCAAGTATCGACCTAATGTGTTCTGGTTATAATTGATCCAACTGAATGGTACAATATCGACATGTACTATTGTGATTATATTTAGCTAAATTACTTCTTAAAATTGATAAAACTAGCAACATAACATTTCTAAAATTAGTTTAATGAATTGTAATAATTATTCTCAACACTTTAATCAACATTGCTAAAAACATGACAAAGCCAGAAATCTATAAAAATCATCGTCCATGAAACAAGTCATTAATTCCACACCTAATGCAACTTTGCAATTGTGGGAAACAAAATAAGTAATAGCAGCATTTATAGCAACAACCAGCAGCATTTGCAGCAACAAATAATCCAAAAAACAAATCCAAAAGCAGTGTTTATAGGAACAACCAGCAACATTTGCAAGCTTGCAGCAACATTTGCAAGCTTGCAGCAACAAGTAACCAAAATAGCAACAGCTAGTAACATTTGTAGCAAGAAGCAACCCAAAAAACAAATCCAAAAGCAGTATTTATAGCAACAGCTAACAACATTTGCAGCAACAAGCAACCCAAAAAAAAACAAAATCCAAAACTTCACATGCACAACAGCAAATGTCAACCATCTAAAAGTGATGGATGTAACTTCTTCTTATATTCTGCAAACTATGAAATCCAATAATAACATTTAGCCAAAATAACATAATTTTAAAAATCAAAATTTAAATGGTAGACAATCTATTTTTAAAAATATTAAACTTACGTACTTCTACTTCCTCTAATTCATCTAAATCCTCACAATCAAGAGTAATATTTACATGTTTTCTTTTTTGCCTAAGCCAATCTTGTGTGCATACTAGAGCTTATGCCATCTTAGGAGTTAAGGAACTCCTAAAGTCATCTAACACACGACCACTTGTGCTGAAAGCTGATTTAGATGCCACTGTTGAAACTGGAATAACTAAAATGTCTCGTGCCATTGCTACAAGAATAGGAAATCTCCCACTCTTGAGCCTCCAATATGAAAGAACATCATAAAATTGAGTTTCATTTTCCATGATCTTTAATTTATCTCTAAGGTAGATGTCAAGCTCTGATTGCTCATTCTTTTTGTAAGCTACCTTTGATAAATATCTTTGAATCTCTTAGTATCCTTCACCCATTTCTTATTTCCTGGTTCACTTTGGTAAGAAGAAACGTTGCTATTCCTATATGCCTTTAAGCTTGCAACACCACCAACACCATTCTCACTACTTGGTTTAGATCTAATAGGGTGATTAAGGTTACTTCGATTCGGCCCTTGTCCCCCACTAGAACTAGACGTGGCATTTGTGCTATTACTGCCACAATTCTTGTTCTGATTTTCTATTTCAGCGTTGTAAAATTCAAACAGCTTCCTCAATTCAGCTTCAATCCAGCATCCATATTCTTTTGCTTTTCCTTCTGGCTCTTGATACAAATCCCTAGGAAGGCAATTTAAATATCTCATTTTTTGACTAGGATCCAACACCACTGCAAAAAAAATGTTCTTATTCATTTTTGTTGGATCTCCCCAATATTTTGCAAACTTTTCCTTCATGCTCCATGCCACAACAACTAAATCATTCTCTTTGGAGATTCCCCATTTGTTTATAAGAGTATTAATCTTACACAATTCATGCAACAATAAATTAATAGTACAATACCATCTCCCACTCACCTATAGGAAAAAAGATCTTACAATGTTAAAATTAAAAGCAATTTCAAGTCTTCAACAATTGAATTAATTACTTTAATAGTTAAACTATTCAAATTAAATAAATTAATAAAGTGATGGGTGGCAATACCACATCTAGTAAAAAACTGAACAGATTAAAGGAAAAAACAGAATTACTTTAAAATAAGCCCTTAAACTTCTTTACAATTAATAATTGAATCATATATTTTATTTTTGGCAAATCTCAACTTATAAATTTAATAAGTTAAAACAAAAAGGGAGAGCTGATTTAGCCAAAAAGAACTATTGGGCCTCAATTACAGAGCTAAGAACTTCAAGGGGTCATTAGAAATTGGTAGATTTTTTCTTTGGAAATAAAGATAAAATAAAATAATATATTAAATAATATTTTAAAAGTAAAAAATAAAGGATTAAATTTAAGCATCATAAATAAAAAAATTAAATTTACTAAAAATAAAGGGATGAAATAATAATTATCAAGTATTATTTCACTTATTCACTATTAACAACTACAATTATTCATGCTCCATGCCACAACAGCTAAGTTATTCTCTTCGGAGATTTCCCATTTGTTTATAAAAGTATTAATCTCACACAATTCATGCAACAATAAGTTAATAGTACAATACTAGCTACACTCACCTATAGGAAAAAGGATCTTACAATATTAAAATTAAAAGCAACTTCAAGTCTCCAACAATTAAATTTAAATGCAAACTTAAAATGTCAAAATTAGAGAATGACTTCTGTAACTCTAAATGAAGGAAATGTCAAGAAGCTTGAAACCACAATGAAGGCAAAAAAATTTCACAAAATAAGAAATTAATTTTTGTAAAATCTCATTTACTAAAGTTACACTTTACTTTGAAAGTAAACAAATATAAATGCTCAAGGAATCTAGTTAATCTTCTGATGTTTTCCCAATCCTCAATGTCTAGAATCCCGAGAGCACTTGGACCACTCAATTCATCCCTAAATGTTTTTTCTTGCCTTGCAAGCCGATTCCACATTTAAAAATTAAAAAAAAAAAGTCAGATTTAGAAAAAAAGAGCAGTGGGAATTTAATACAAAAAATTTATCTAGAATTAATAATTTGCATGTTACCTTGCAAATGCTTGTTCATACTTCTCAGCCCTTTGCAACATATCATAAGATGAGTTCCACCTATGGGGAACATCTAGGCACACATTCTTTTTGAAATCAATCTCCTTAAATGCAACCACTTCCTTACAAGTTTTTACCCTCAAAGTGCTTTGCCTAACCCACTTGCAACAAGCTCTTATTGATTCCACAAAATTGTTGTATAATTTCATACCATCATGGACAACTAAGTTTACAATGTGTGATATACAACGTATATGCAAATCTTTCGCTCGTAGCACACTAGTCCCCCATTTGTTAAGACATTCTTTCAGTGACCTAACCAACACATCATTTGCACTAGCATTGTCAACAGTAATACAATAGACCCTATCAATGCCCCACTCTCTTAAGCATCTTTCTAACATATCCCCTAAGTCCTCCCCTTTATGACTATCCATAGGGACAAAGCACAATATCTTCTTTTGCAAATTCCAATTGTCGTTAATAAAGTGAACAATGGCAGACATATAAGAGATTTTATTTTGTGAAGTTTGTGTATCTATAGTTAAAGAGACTCTCATCTTTTTATCCTAAAGAATTTGGACAAATCATCTCTAAGATCACAATATAAAGCAAGAATATCTCTTGTGATAGTTCTCCTAGATGGAGGCTTAAAATGTTGTGGAAGACATATTACACAAAAATGCAAAAAACCTTCTTTCTCAACAAAACTGAAAGGTAACTCATCTAAAATAATCATCATAGCAATTGCCTTCCTAGTTGCCACTTCATCAAACTTCCACTGCCCTAAATGCACTGCCTCACCTCCATCAATGGTTGTAAACTTTGTCAATTTCAATTGTGCTTGTTTTTTCAAATTTTCTAGATTTAATTTGCATCTAGTTATGTGTTTCTTAAGGCCTAACATCCAATTATTTGAAGAACAAGCTCTTATGACAGCACTACTGTAACACCCTATATACTTTAACGAATAAATTAAAAATTAGAGTATTTTATTTTAACATTTTAAGGATTAAATTGATTAGAATTGGAATATGTGGACCTTATGTGAAATTTTGAGATGGTTAGAGACTATCAAACTTATTTAGCCAAGATTTGAGACGTGGCAATTGGGCATTAAGTCACCAAAGCCGTCTCTAGAAGATTTTAGAAAAGCAAAATCCTTTTCTCCTTTTTGTCTTAAGTTTCTTGAAACCCAAACCCACCATTTTCTCTGCATCTTTCCCCTTTATTTCTAGCCGGTCCTCTGCACATTTTCTCCTTTGGCTACCGTGTGGGATGTGTGGGACACACCCTCCAATGAAATCTCTTTCAATTTTTGTTGGTTGTTTGAGTTTGGTGCTTTGATTTTTAGGTAAGTACAAGTTTTAAGTTATGAATTTGGGTTTAAGGTTTTTGGGTAAATATAAGTTTTGATTATAAATTTGAGGTAGAGTTTCTTTGGGTAGATTATAGCTTTATTCCAATAAACTAAAAATTAGTTTAAATTAGTGAAATTTGACCCCAAAGCTTTAGTTTAATAAATCTTTAGGTATTAAGATTTTGTTAAGAACATGTTAATTTTTGAGGCATATATGGAAAAGAACAATGAATTATTTCTTTTTTTTTTATGTTTGATTTAGTGTGAATTTTATGAATTAAAGGACCTTGCTAGAACTATTTCACGGGGTATTGTTCATGGATTATCGTTTACGGATTACTGTTTACGAATACTGTTCTTGAAAACTGTTCACATACTAATTACTATTCATGCAGTGTACTTCAATTTCTTTCAATATAAAGTTATATGAAATATGTGAGTTGTGTATGTGGATCTTAGTATGAACTCGAATTGTCCATGCGACTGATTAATGAGAACATTAAATGGGATAATATTATAATATTATTTTGGACAAGTTCTAAACCTGTTTGACATGCGTATGTGCTTGTGGTTATGGAGTAAGTGGACCTAAACTTAAAGCTTGGGGTATTCAGTAGATCCTTTAGGATATTTAGTGGACCTCTGCGCAGTAATGTTAGTACTGTGACTAACTCTAATACAGTGTTGCTAGCACACATCAGTGGACTCCATAGCATTGTGTGATTTTCGATTTTTATGCATTATGCTTGTGACATGGTATTTGTGAGCATATGAGTTTATTATATGAATTTGATTTAAATGTCATTGATTATTCCTTGACATGTGTGATTATGATTTGAAATATTAAGTTATTATTTAAACACCAGAAATTATAATATTATCTGGTTTGGTGCTGTTGTATCTCATACTCTTTGTGCATATAGATTTGGGGGTCTTAGGACCCAAGTTTATAGTTTATAGTTTAAACTTAATACTTACTGGGCCTTCAGCTCATAAAATTCCCCCTCATGTGAAATTAGTAGATTGGAGTAGCAGTCACTCAACTTGAGAGCTTTCAGTATAAACCTCGTATGCCGACCTCAGTGCTTTTGATGTGAAGGTGGATTAATGTATTACCAAAATGATAATTTCGCTTTTATTATTTTAGAAAGTATTTTGAAAAAGCAATTGCTTCCATGTATTTTTTGGATAAGTTATTTTTATGTATATGACATTAAGATTCATTTAAATGGGCATAGTCTAGCTTATTTTATAACTTTGAGTATTTCGATATTTTTCATAAGATATTTTTCATTTAAATAGTTTTCCCGTGCAAATGAAGGATTTTCCTTCTATAAAATTTCAAATTGTTTTGAAAGCAAATTTTTTCCTTAAAGGGAAACATTTTATATTAGAAGAATTTTTACTTTCGCTGCAATCTTTTCTTTTTATAGATAATTCCTACTGTTTTTTTTATCTTGAGGAGTATATTTCCCTACTTGGTAAACCAGGAGGTTTATATAAAAGAAGATGTTACAACTACACCATTTACACCTCCCCTTTTGCTTCCCATCAAGACCAATAAAGCACACAAAATATTTCCAAGCTTCAGAAGTTTTACCTCTTGGTTTCTATTGAGTGCCTTGAGGTTGAGATTGTTCAATGACCTCAGGAAGTTGATTCTTCTGAGAAACCCTTCCCCCTTTTTTTAGTTCTATTTGTTGTGCTTTCTTTAGCTCTAGTGATATTCCCTTCACTACTTTTGCCAAGACTATCATTAATATCATCTTCCTCATCATCGTCTTCCTCTTCCTCCTCTTCTAAGTCTTCTTTATATTCCTCATCATCTTCCTCTGTTTGCTTTCCTTTGGTCTTTTTCATTTCTTCCATCCTTTTCTCATAGCTTTTAAATTCTTCCTCCAAATCATATCTTAGTGGAGGTGCCTAAGCATTAAAAAATATTGCAAGAATTTAAACATTAATTAATAGTACATAAGATAGGGAGAGAACATAGGAAACTTTATAAATATGCAAAGTATATATACCAAAGAATTAAATTCAGACAGTTGTTCTCCTCTTGGTGCTCCCTTTACTGATTCAGAATGGTAACTATTCATCTAAATTCTTGAAGTTGACATCATATATAGCATTCTGCATTTAAAATAGAAAAGACATGTCAATTGTCAAATAAAGTAAGTAAAAACTAAACAGAAAAATTCAAAGAAAAAAAAGTAAATAAATTGACTAAAAAGAGGGAAATAGAGCAAATATCTATGACAAATAGAGTAAGTAGAAACTACATAGAAAAATTCAAAGGAAAAAAAAAGCAAATAAACCAATTAAAAAAGGGAAACAGAGCATATATCTATTGTGTTCACATTAAAAGTTTGGCAAGTAAAACAACTTCTAAATTTGAGAATCTTCAAAGTCAAATAAATAAAAATACAAGCACATGCATAGCGGTGGGCCATTTGCACATAGACATGGACCCATTTGGCTTCTTGCAAGCAATTATATAATTTATTGTCCTCCTACTTTTTCTTTAAACACATAGTCTTCCGTCTTTCTTCACAAAAGCCCCATTTTTCAAAGATAAAGAGCAAAACAAGGGCTTTTGGCTTTTCATTCTAATTTAGTAGATGAAACACATATAAAAAAGCAAAGCCTCAAAGCATCATCACAGAGATGGGACATGGTATGCGATTCTCTCACAGTCTCACTTTCTCATCTCTTCTCCAACTTGTCTCCTTTCTCACCTCTCGTTTCCCCTGTACTCTTTGTTTCTCTATTATTTCAATTTTCAAGTTTTGCAACAATAAAGCTTCCAATCTTTTGAAATTTTGTTTGAATTCAAAGCAGTTGAAAGTGAATTGTTTAAGAATTTGCACATCACAGTGATCACACCCATCTTTTGAAGAAAGATCAAGCAAAGTGTGTACTATTTTGGTTTATAGACTTACCAGTGGTCAGTATT